ACACTACTGCCACCTACTGGTTTTTCTCTGGCCAGAAGTTCGACGGCAAATCTTCCCTCTTCGATTCTGTTCAGTTTATTTCTGTAGCACCAATTCACATCATGTCATCTCAGGTCACTTTACAGAGACAATTTAACCAGATCATCCAGTTAAATTGAGTTTTCTATCTAAGGAAAACCAGCTGATTGCATCAAACCTCCAGCAGATGGGAAACAAAGTCCTGTGGGTTGATTTGAACTTTTTTGGAAGCAAAAATCATTGATAGTCTCCTGATTAATGTGGATTATTTTCCGTGTCTGCTCTGCAGTATCCAGCCCCGCTCCAGCACTGCCCTGATGCACAGAGCTGTGGGGGGGTGTGAATACTTTTGGAAGGATTTCTGTAACCGTAAACGAAGCTGTAGTTTTATGTTCTGGGTGGTTCTGTGGGCGGGGTTCTGTTCCTGTAGGACCGTGTGTTTCAGCATGCTCCTCCTAACATGCATGGCGGTTAATAGATGTGGACGGTTTCAGAACCCGGACCTGGTGGCGGTGAAGCGGATGTACCTGGCTCTGGTCCTGTTCTCCCTGCTGAAGGAGACCAACGTGTGGAGCGTGGCCGAGCGCTTCCAGCTGAGCCGAGGCTTCGTGCAGACCCTCCTCAGCTCCGCCTCCGCCTTCTGCTCCTGCGTCCTGCACTTCACTGAGGTTCGTTTGGTTGCTGTAAATCAGCGCGCCGTCCCTTTAAGCCGCTAAGCTCTGCTGTGACCTCCTGCAGGAGCTGGAGGAGCTGTGGCCGTTCAAAGCGCTGCTGACCGAGCTGACCCGGCGTCTGAGCTACTGCGTGACGGCCGAGCTCATCCCCCTGATGGAGGTGGCCGGGGTTCTGGAGGTCAGGTGCTGCTGCTGGCTCCTGTGCTCCTCAGGTACGCTCTGTTCCCGCCTCCTCATGGTTCTCCTTCTGTGCAGTTCAGAGCAAAGCAGCTGTACGCCGCCGGCTACAAGACGCTGAGCCACCTGGCTAACGCTGACCCGGCCGTCCTCTGCAGAACAATCCAGAACCTGTACAAGAAGCAGGCGCTCCTGATGGTGGCCTCCGCCAAGGTAAGCCCCCCCCACCAGATCAGAAGCAGCCTGCTGTCCGGACCTGACGTCTGTCTGTCTGTCCTCCAGATGCTGCTGAATGAGAAGGCTGCAGCTCTGCAGGAGGAGGTGGACGATCTGCTGACACTGCCTGCTGACCTGCCGCCGCAGCGGCTTCAACCCAAAGCTGCTGATTTTTAGGTTATTGTGTTTTTTACTCATTAAAACTTCTTTTTAAAAAACATTTTCCTAAAGTGGATCAACAGGAGCTCAGTGATTTCTGTTCATATCATCAACATTTGATCAGATTTAAGCTCAGCGACCAACAGCAGGGGTGGATTTAGGATATTTGGGGCCCTAGGCAAAGACCGGCAGGGGCCCCTCTGAATGGAGAAGACATAAAACAGACTACAGATTCTACACATAGAGAAGTTTTAACACTGGAAAAACAATCTAGAAATAAGTAAACATTTCTTAAATTAAGGGAGATGAGATGGTCTGCTAATGGAATAAACATTTTTACTCTTTAAATAAGATATTTATCACTGGGTGGGGAGGAAGGGTGTTCTATTATTGATGACACAAATTTGTATACACTTTACAAAATTTTGACTACTTGTGGTTGGTGCACTTGTTCCTCTAATGTACAAAATATGAAAAAACAATGAAAAATTGATCACAAAAAAAAATTAAAATAAGATATTTATATAAAATTCACTTGAAAAAAGATGATTCAGTTTTGTTTTATTTTAAATGAGACACACTTAATATTACCAGCATTTTGATGGCATTTTAGAGAAAGGATTTTATCAAAAACATAATGTGCACAAACAAGGAGTAGTTGTATTAACCGACCCAGGAACTTGGGGCCCTCGGAAACTGCCTATTATTTCTTAAGGGTAAATCCCCCCCTGACCAAGGGAATAATTAATTTAATCTGATACTGAGCCTCTTTTCCTGCAACACCCTGAAATAAAACCCAGTGCATGGAGCTGCAGCTCAGCATCAGCTCTGTTTGTCCGTCTGTCTTCAGGGAGGAATAAACAGCAGTTTGGTCATCTGGGTTTTTTCTTAATGTGCAGAGAAGTGAAATAAGCAGCAGGTTATAAAGATGGAGCTGAAATGTCTTTAAATGATTTGTCCTCTGGATGTTTGGCTTATCAGAGACGTTTTACCTGAGCAGAGATTCCTGCTAAATAAAAACAGCCATAAAAAAGAGAACCGACCTTTAGGCTCATCTCAGGATGTGAGGCTCTGCTGAGAGTTTCTATTAGACCCACAGCAGGAAGCTTCTGTTTATGGTCAGTGAGTGGAAACCCTGGTTACACTCTCTGTCATCCAGGTCATAGTCAGTCCATAAAATTAAACAATCCACTGGACTAAACTTGAAGACGTTTTGCCTTCCATCCAGGGGGACCAACCTTAAACAGAGGGGGGGGACTCAAAACTACAATGCAGCGATAGAGTTGACTGTTTCATACTGATCTCTATTTATTCCCTGGATTGCTGGTCGTTGAAGTGAAGCCACCGGCTGCCATGTTGGTACTCCCTAGTTAGACCGGTCACAATGTAAACAATCGGTGCGCTACAGCATCGAACGACGATGATGTTTGTCGTGTTCAGGGTGTAATGTACGGGAATCGGACCCAAGATACAACCAAGACAGGTCAGTGACTTTTACAGGCTTTGAGAAATGAACGGAGGAAGCATTAAACGTTCAGGACAAGCTGCTGCACCCGAAGGGGAGCCTGACTCCCGAGGTCCGGAGCATGAAGAGCCGGTTAGAGGCAGTGAACTGAGTCTGGAAGCAGACAGGGTTTGCTGGGGCCCGTAGACAGCTTTGACAGAGGTTTCCAGTGGGGCTTTCCAGAGACGCAGAGGGGTCCAGGTTCAGCAGATCCAGTACAGACAGGGAGATCCAGGAGGGAAGGTCCAGGTCCGTAAACAGAGCCCAAAATCCAGAGACGGATCCAATCAGGGTTCCAGGCAGGCAGAACAGGGACAGGCTCGGTAACAGAAAGGTTTGCAAAGCGATGGCTGGAAGGTTCTCACCGGTAGGTTCAACACGATCTGGCACAGGTAGCTGATCTGAACGGGGCTTATAAACAGGTGAAACCAGTTAAGGGCTGATTGCAGGTGAGGTGAAGCTGAGCAGGAGAGCAGAGTGGACAGATAGGCCAGCCTCAATATTACACAGGCGGCTTAAGACTTTTAAAATAAAGATAAATTCATCACTTCGACACAGACTGGCTGTTTCATAGCAGCAGTAGATTAACTTTAACTTAGAATAAATAAATAGGCCCATCACATTGCAGAGTCATTATGACGAAGTCTATAAATCATGTAATATAACATATTATACAAACCATTACAATTAAATTAATGTGTTAACGGAGCAGAATAATACAGATGAGCCATAAGACCTAAATTGATGTTCATGTAACATACATGGATTTATTACACTTTTATGGTAATTACATTTTTGAATTTTAAGATGTAACATATAGACTGAATGTTCATGTCTGTTAATGCTTTAGTATTTTCCTGTTTGCAGATTGTGCATGAATGATTCCAGATCTGCATCAGCCTTTAGAAATGTTTCAGTTGCTTTTCTCCATCAGTATAACCTGTAATATATTTAATGACTTTTTCAAATGAGAAATACAACAAACTCTATAAAAACTACAGCATCATCCACCTAATAAAGAGTTAATACATTAACATTTCAGTGAATGACTTTCTATTTCCTCTACTTTCTATTTTCTAACCTTAGACCCAATGTCAGTGTCTAACTCAGTCAATGTCTTCCAGTTAGTCTGAGATAGCCAGACTAATGTTAGTCTGCAGACTAAACTATAGGATCCATTGGCTATAGATGGATTTATTGCTTAGTTCATCCACTGACTGGGAAATTATCTGGAACGTCTTCCTGCAGACAGAAAACTGTTGGTTTCTGCAGCCAAAATGCTGCAGGGAGGCATTTTACTGCGCGGCTCCATGGGAGTGGGGAGTACCAATATGGCGGCCGGTGGCTTCACTTTGTTTCAGGCTATCAGCAAAACAGTGAATGAATAGAGATCAGTGTTCCTTCCTTATACCAACTCAACCCCCATCGCTATTCAGGGGAACAGAATACCTGTCCAGGTCAGCCAGCTCAACTGTGACCCTTAACGACTGCCTTTTCAGAGGAATGGACCAGTATCTGGTATTTCAGGCCAATAACGACCTTAAAGACTCCCATTATTAAGGGCTGGAGCTGGATTTCCACTTTCAATCTGCATGTTTTCTAAACCAACATGCTGTATGAAGCCTGGAACTCAACACTAATCCAGACATTCTGAATTGAAAAAGCTTCCTGGATGGAAGAGAAATGTCTTCAGACTTGGAAACAAAGTCCAGAGGATTGATTTGAACTTCTTGGAATGAGGCAGAATTTTAGGTTCTCACCACTAGATGGCCCCAGAGAGCATGTAAAGATTAGATGAACCTTCATGCAGCACATTTACTGTAACAAAGCCTCACGTCTCCATGGTTACCGTACTGCATATGAATAACAGCAATCAGCATGAATCCTGGCTCAACACTTTTCCTCCCTCATTTCAGTGACGCTTTACTTTTTTTTTGGGGGGGGGGAGCAGAACGTGGAGCGAGAACTTCTCCTGGGAGTCTGACGCTTTCTGACATCTTCTACGTTCTCAGTCTTGCAGTGAAGCAGGAGGAAGTCTTCCTGCAGGGTTCTGGTACAATGCCTCTAATGCAGACTGATTAGAGTCCTTACTTTATGGCATATAGCAGAGTGGGGGGGCATAGCCACTCAGTAGAGCCCCCTATAAGGTTCTCTGTTGTTCCCTTTTCCATCTCTGGGAAAAGCAGCTCCCTCCTTTAGGAGAAAATACAGCAGACGCTTTACAGCACAGCAAGCATGCAACACGCAGGAATTACTGACAGCAGCACAACGCTGTACGATGTTTTTCCCCTAACGCGGGGCAATCAGCCTCTAACGACCAGTGCTATCTCTATAG